CCCCCCATCCCCATCCCCATCCCCATCCCACCCCACCCACCCCACCCCAAAACTCATAAATTAAAACAAAGCTGCAACAGAAGCCAAGAGGGGGAAGCCGTATTGTCCACTGGTCATCTCTTGTTCTCCATTTATCCTAAATCAAGCTAGATAGTCACAGCAGAGAACTATGACAATAGATGGAGCTTCCAGTCCACTAGATTGTTCCTCCTACTCTCACAGGCACTACAGAAGTTGTTGCCCCACAGCAAGAACCTGCCATTTATTTTGCTATTATCAGCTAAAGCAGTACATAGCCAGAGCACTGACAACTGACAGTCGCACAGTTTCTCACCTGGCAGAAGGAAGCACTGAAGTGGCACTCAGAAGTCAGGCCCCTGATCCAAAGACAGTTATGTTTTTTGTCATGGACAAAACAGCGTATCACAAAAGGAACCCCCCCCCCACACAAATATTGGAGTTACACTTTATACAAACATCTATCTTCCAATTAACACAAAAGCCTGGGAGAGAGATTTACAAGGGTGAGTAGGTAGGTGGGGAAAGGGTTATCCTTTCTGACACATGTAAAGTCTCTTCTGGAAAATCTTTTCCTAACTATTTCACTCCTCTCCCCCAACATATATACAGCTGGACTCCAAGTGGGAGAAAACAGAAGGCTGCCTAAGTCTTCTGTCAGGCAACAATGAAGAGGAGAACCCTTGTTTGCTTCCTGTTATGTAGTCCTACCTTCACTGCACCTTCTTTGCTCATCCTTTGTTCTCATATAGCATTGTTCACTGAAAAGCATCTAAAGTGATGCCATTACATGAGTCTGTTCTAAAGAAAAATCCAACTAACATTCTTAGAAGATATGTTCACAGATGCCAACAAAAAATCCTGTTCTGAGGCATGAAACCATCAACAGCTCCTTTGCTTGTGCAACCATCAAATCCGTTATTGCTATTTGCCCTCTGTAATAAATCTATTGATAACTTTGGTTTCCAGAGGAACAGGATCCCTATTTTATTTGTCTCCCTCTACAACTTTCAAAGTAAATATTCAGAAAAGAATTTCACTGGACTTTATTTTTACACTGAACATATACTCCCACCTCAGCTGCTAAGAGATTTCCTCTCTTGAATTTTACCCACAAAGGAGGAGCTTGGTGTCAGCAGGAGGGAAATTCCACCTCAAGTTTAAGATGCTTGATTCCAATGGTCTTTCTGCATAGCTTCTATTCCCTTAGTTGCTAAAGATAAATCTCTCCTTGATCATCACAGTCTGAAATTTTCTATTCAGGATCAAATCTAATGGATAAGGTTCTGCTAAGGTGCCCTGAAAAGTTCTATGCTGCTACTCTTATTTTATAAAGATATGCAATATTGCCAAATTCAGATTAAACTGTTTTTCTAAAACTCTTGCCCTCCAGATGAGTTGGAGTACAACTCCCATTGGACATGCTGCCTGGAGATAATGGAATGAGAAACAAGGAAGACTCTTATAAGGCATGTTTCCCTATTAGGTTTACCACAGGCCATTTTCACTGCTATAAAAAGCAGAACCAGCTCTATGCTCAATCTGACAGAGCTAACCAATTTTGTTTTAGACTCTGGAATCTAAATTTCACATATTATAGAACTGTCACGCTAGTTTTCTGTACACATCTGTTGGTTGAAAAAAGGCATAATCTAGCCAGCCTTTTTTCTTTATATATAAGTAATGCATAGTAGGTTTCAATATAAACACAAACCATTACCTATAATCAATAGAAAAGAAGTACACTAGCTTTGTAGTATGACAATAGACATATAGCGAACAAACATCTCTATTCTCTTCTTTAAAAATATCTGCCAATCCTTCAATACATGCTATTTTGTTTATATACCTAAGTATTTTCTAGCTCATAGTATCTACAGAAAGGGAAAGAAATTAACATATGCTAATCTTCCCTATTTATACAAGTAGTCCCCAGTTTAAGAACGAGTTCTATTCCCAAAGTCTGTCCTTAAGTCAAATTTGTATGTAAGCCAGAACAGTATTATTGTATATAAGTAGTATTGTGTAATTAAGTCAAACCATTCTCTATTTAACTCGAATCATTGTGTATTTAACTCGAATCATTGTGTATTTAACTCGAATTTTGCCACAATAGGCTCCGTTCTTAAGTATGGGTCATCTATAAACAGGGCATTCTTAACCTGGGGATTACCTGTATCAACATCCTGAAAATGCAGATTTCAGTTATTAACTATTACTAGGCTTCTACAGCACTTAAACCAGAGTATGCTTTTTCTCTGCAAATAGCTCTTGCCATAAAAACCATGATAGGAAAGTGATGAACCTTGACAGCTCTCTGGAGAAAATGATACTGAATAGGCTTTCCCTCCTTTTTTACAGTGTAAGCAATAGCTCAGTCCCACTTTAGCAGCCATCTGGAAGGCATCAGGCTGGGATTGGCTACCATGCAGTGGAGAAGCATAAATCCTGTCCGACTTCTCTTGATTCGCTATAAACCCAAGTGGTAGATTTTGTTTCCTTTATGAGATGAGTAGGTAACTATGTGCATTTTTCTCCTCATTCCCACATCAATATTTTCCACACATAAATAATAATAAAGCTAGAACTAGCCAATGCACACATACATAAGGCTTTGCTATTTCCAGAATCTAGGCAGAAAGAGTAATAAGCTATTGGCTGGGCCAGATCTGACTCTCTGAAAGCCATTAGCCTTGAGTATTTCCTAGACTAGCACCTGAAAGGTCAAGTAAGCCTTATGCACAATCCATGAAACTGCTCTTTTCTCCTCAAAAACTGTGTACATTGCTATAAATAATTCAGTACAGGCAGGTGACACTTCACAGATGTGCTGGGAGATGCAGTGGCACAAATAATATATCAAGTTATACAGCGCTCACAAGCTTCTAAATACACAGCCTGCTTTTAAAATCTTTTGATGTAACCAAAAAGCTTTATCTGTCCACTCCTTCTGTTCTTCCTAGGAATACAGGTGGTCCTTGGTTAATAACCACCTGTTCAGCGACCATTCAAAGTTATGATGGTGCTGAACGAGTGGTACTTACGACTGGTCCTCCAAGTTCCAACTGTCCCAGCACCCCCACGGTCACATGATCGCGATCCAGGCACTTGATAGCCGGCTCGCACTTACAATGGTTGCAGCATCCTGCGGTCACATGATCACCATTTGTGACCTTCGCTGCTGACTTCCCACAAAGTCAATGGGGAAACCAGCAGGAAACATCGCAAGTCACTCTGGTAAGTCTCCCCCACCCATCAGCAACCACCCCCAACCCTGCTCGCTCTGCACCAGCCACCTGTGCAACCTCCCCCACCTGGCAGCAGCCACTTACCTGCCCACCAGCCTGGTTGCAAGCCACCTGGGACTTGCAACTTCCTGCCAGCTTCCCCACTGACTTTGGTTGTTGGAACCCAGCAGGAAGTTGTAGGGAGGTCCTCGCTTAACAACTCATGATCCTTGCTTAATGACGGCAATGGGGACTATTGGGATTGCCATCACTAAGTGATATGGTCATGTGACATCACGCTTTGCGTTGCTTAGCAACTGAAGTTCCGGTCCCAATTACCATTGTTAACCAAGGACTATCTGTAGCAACTCTTTCCCTCCTCTCCAGATACATGCATAGGATAACTAGCCACAGTTACAGAATAGACAAACGTCACTATCATTCCATATAAACAATATAACAAACAGGATAGGGAGTCCCCAGAATGTCTAGCAGCAATAAAAAGCTATTTGTAGCCCCACCTTCATCATTCCATCAACTGCCTTTCAGAAACAACCATTCATGTCAGCAGACAGAAACCACAAATTCAGCCTTCCATTCCTTCTGGGCAAAGAATGACATCCACTTAACTACCAAGACTCCAGAACACGTGACACAATGTAGCAAAAGAGCATATCATATAAGCTATGGAACAGCCTATTCCCCCATGTTATTGAGGAAAGCGCTGTGGATATTAGTATTTCAAGCAGGAGCAGCTTCCTCAGAATCCCAGAAAACCAACCTGTGTCTTACCTTCTCCGATTTGACTTTTTTGAGCTGTCGGCACTCACTGTCACCATCTTCCAGCTCTGACTTAACTCCCAAAGGATTGAGTGCAGATCCTGTGTCAATAGCTATACTTCCAAGCTGCTCAGCAGCAGCAGTAGGATCAGATCCTTGGCCACCATCGTATTGCCCAACCCTGACTGCCAAGGCAAGAGGTTGGAGTACAGTGGGCTCCTTTTCTGCTGGAGCACCCACACCCTCACTCCTTTCTTTCTTACTCTTGGAAGAACCACCTTCCTTCTCTTTCTTTGAGTTTGCCACACTGCGAGAAGTCTTGGCTGATTTCTCAGAGCCTTTTGGGGCAATGGTAGCCACCAAGCCACCAGAGTTCACACCATCCCCAGAGCGCCCTTGAACCTCCTTCTTGCCACTAGTCCCTTCACTTGGCGTGAATAGGGAGGATCCTGGGGCAGCCTTGCCATTGTCCTTGCTACTCTTACTCCGTTTGGATTTGGATTTGCCTTCCTTGTTCTGTGGACCTGGCACTGGGGTCACAAACTTGATGTTCTCTGGCAATGTCGCCACAGCATTCGGTGCTGGCAGACCCACTTCCTTGGAGCCTGACATTTCCAATTTCTGTTGGTCCTTTTCCAAATCCGCATCCAGGTCAATGATGAGATTCCCTACTCCAATGTCCCATTCATCCCCACTGTCATATGTCTCAACTGGGTTTGCATCCACTCCTTTCCCTCCAGCAGCTCCACTGCTCAAGGACATCTTAGAGTTAACGACCCACCTCAAGGTTCAAGCCTCTTGTCTGCTCCTTCAGCCTCAGGGTATGAAGTAGCAGCTTCAGCTATGTTCTCAAGCCTCCAGTGATCAAGAAGTACCCAGATGATAACATAATGGCTGAAAGGAAAAGCAGGGACAACATATGTTACATTGCTATTATTTAGGAAGCGTGTTCAAAAACACACACAACATACATATATGGGAAGGGATTTTACATGCAAGATTTAAGAATGCCCATGCAGAGTAACTGAATACATATTCACCACCCATTCCTGCTTTGCTTTTAGGCGAAAAGAAAATTTTGAAAGTTGAATCACAGTAAACCATTTTCATAGGAGTACAGACCCTAACCTTAAAGCCAAACAATTTTATCAATTTAGCCAATACGTGTATTACAATGGGCAGTTGCTCTCTATGGCCTCCCTTCGTTTACTATTTGATTCTTTGGATTAGAGCTGCCAGGAAACGAATATGAGACGCTCTCCGTGTAAAGAACTTGCTCCTCTGCTACAGTCTGTCTGTCCCGTGTACTTTAGGTTACATGCCTTTCTTTTGCACTACTAACTTTATGTTATTCATAAAAGGAGTAGAGGTTCCAAAGGGCAAGTAAACAATTTCCCCAAGGTAACTTCTTTTCAAAGGCTACAACAGCCCCCCACTGGGCACAATACTACTACATACTAGAATGAAATTCAATTATCAGAATTTTTTTTTAAAACAGAAATTTTATCAGGCTCCCTTTGAAGAGCAAAAGCAACCTAGGAAGGGATGGAGTCAATCTTGCAGAATTCAAATGAAGAATCGGACCCAGTGTAACAAATAAGCTTTTTTAAAAGAACAATATACCCTTATATCATGATAACTTTAACTAGAGGACAAGAAGCAGCAGCCTGCTCAGCTGTGATATACACATCACAGATTCCTTCAGTATCAGCCATGACGACCTGAAGAAGAGACAGTGTTATCCACTCTGATAAGGTATTTCATATCACCCCAAAGTCATTTCTTCCAAAATCCTGAATTATCTATAGAGAGAAGGAAAGGCTGCATGACTTTTAGACAGGTCCCAGAAATAGTATATTTACTGAAGAGTGATAGCAAAAGACAAGAAACAAATTAGGAAAGTCCAAATTAGGTAAACAGGCCGGTAGATAAGAACAGTATAAATTAGAATTGTCGGAGTTATATACAGAAGAACTGTATCTGAAGGCCAAATAATGCATAGATGTTGGCTCCCTTATACCAGCCTATAATGATTCTTAGCCTATAATGATTAAGTGACCAATCACACCTTTGGGAATAAGTGGCATACAAATATAGTAAATAAATAAATCTTCATGAAGACTCTGTACCTTGGAGGATACAAATGAGAAAGTCAGTCATTCCATAAGATAAGTATATGACAATTATATTTACAACGAGTAATTAGCACATGAAATAGCATTTTCCCTGCAGTCAGCCAAACGCCAGCAAAGGGCAGTCTCAGGTGCACCTATGAACCCATGGGCACTCCTCCAGCTGTGGCTTTCTTTAAGCATTATTGTCTTTTGCTGCTCCTTGCTAAGCATGAGATACTGATGATCTGTACTGTAACACATGGGGAACACTTACAGGAACACAACAGCAGTACCATTTTTCAAAAAGGGGTACTGTATTTTCATTTTTATTTATTTTTTAATTCCAAAAAGCACAAGGATTAAAAGGCACATTGGTAATGTACATCAGGAGAAAGGAACACAGTACAATATTAGCAGTTAATTCATATGATTGCGGTAGCTGGACTATTTTCCATCCATTCCCCTATAGAATCTCTAACTTTGGCTGCTAACAGTCTGCTCCCTGACAGGTCATTATGGAGATTTTTAACCTCAGGAGCTAAGGGTTGATACTAGAGCAGGAAATTTAGAAACACAGCAGTGATTTTGTCTTTACAGTAGATAAATGCAGAAGCATAAGCAGCTACAGAATCAGGAATGGCTTTGAAAAACTGCAGCCTCTTGTTACTTCACCTTCTGATTCATAGCTTAGTGCTATCTGTCTCCCTGAAATATTCTGCCTGATTGGCTTGTTACATCTTGTCACTAAGCCTTTATTCCTCCAATTGAGGTCAGAAACAACCTTCTTCCTACCTGGGCTAGTTTTAGAGAAGGGGCAGAGCCACAGAATGAATTATCGATGTGCCCCATTTTCTTTTATGTACTAATAGAACAAGAAACATATCCCACAGTCAGAAGAGCAGGCAGCCACTAACCTGTGCATACTAACGGTCCTTGAACATCACCAGCCTCCTGCAATTTCATTTTTTGTTGCTGTTGTTCAAGAGGTTGGAACAGAAATTAAGAGCATTCTACAGACATTTCTGCCAAATTGAAAAGGCATATGGGAAATAAAATTTGCAGAAGGATGCCTGCTCAGAAGCACTGCCGCATTAAATATAGCCCAAATCCATCTTCATGCATGTATCAATCAATCAATCAATTTTAACACCAGTTGTAACAGATAGCATGCATGTATCAGGACATTGCACAGTTTATCCTAAACCATGTTAATAATTTGGTTATTATTAATAATTAAACCTTCTTTGTTTAATATGTTTTTATAACTCATGACAGTTACTTTGGTTCCAAGACTGATTTGCTTTTAACACAGAGTAAAGTATCATGCTTTTTAACAATATGAGAATTGAACGTTATATTAAATTGTCATACTGAAAAATGGCAGATGACACTATAGAGCAGTGTTTCTCAACCTTGGCGGCTTTAAGGTGTGTGGTCTTCAACTCCCAGAATTCCCTAGCCAGCATTGCTGGCTAGGGAATTCTGGGAGTTGAAATCCACACATCTTAAAGCTGCCAAGGTTAAGAAATGCTGCTGTAGCGTTTGAAGATTTGCATTTCAGTCTTTACTATACTGCAGAGTCAAAGGTCTGGTATGCATTACTCAGTTCCAAAGCAGGAAAGGAGCTTCAGATGTGGTTAGTTCATTTACTGTATTTGTCAGAGGTTCTTTAAAGAAGACATGCCTTTTTCCATACTTATGCATGGTCCCAGCTGTTTACCATTCAGCTACAGTGTGAGTTCAGGAAAAAAGCATGGCATCTTTAAGGAGCTGCTGAATGCCCCCCTGCTGGATCTGGAACCCCTTTCCTGCTTCAGATCTGAATACTCCCCACCTGGCAAATTAAAAAGGAGTTTAAGCTACATCTATGCAAATGAATTCTGTCAGTACTAAAAAAATAAATAACCTCCATGGCAATCATACATATATGCTCGTCACAGAAAACAACACACTGCAACCAAAATCCAAGCTGATGTTGTTTTTCCTTAAATGTCACAATTGCAGTTCAACCATAAATATTATCTGCATTAGGTATCTGAATGCTTAAAGCAGGCCAGACAGTCATCATTTGATCAGTTTAACACAGTGCTTCCCAAACGTCTTCCTTCATTACCCAAAACTCTAAGTTGGAACGGTCGCTGAATGAATGGTTGTAACTTGAGGACTACCTGTATTGTAAAAACAATATCATTGAATGATCTTTATGTCATTTCAACAAATTACCATTGGTTTTTGCCTTAATAGGAATACTTGGGGAGATTTTCAAATATATTTTAGTACCCATGGCAATCTTTAGGTCAATTTAAATGTCTCTGTTGCGACTGGGCAATGGGTTCATGTGTCATTACCCAAAGTAAAAACACCTTTACCCAACTACACATATTTTGCTGATAGTCACTCAAAACTGCCTAAGTCTTCATGGGCAGAGTTTGATGAGACAACCGGGGCAATGTCTTGTAACATAAACTCTGAGATTCATTTTAATGGACTTTGAACTAGATTAGAGTACCCTCTAATATGAACTCCACTCCACCATCCCTGCCTGTCCTGGCTCTTTTTTTAATTCAGATTAACTATGTGTGTAGATGGATCTGGCAATCAACACCTCCTTCATAAGAAGGGGTTGTTTCTTGCCTTTAAGGATGCAGTGATGCAGCCCCTTCTGAAAAGACCTTACCTGGATCCAACTGCACTGGACAATTTCTGCCCAGTCTCCAACCTTCCCTCCCCTGCTCTAGACAAGGTGGATTATCTGAATCCTTTTGTGTTGGTGTTCAGGTTTGGCCATGGAATAGAAATAGCATTAGTCACCCTAAAAGACAATCTTCATTAGGACCTAAATAGAAGGAGTGTACTTTCCTGGTTCTACTTGACTTTTCAGAAGGATTTAATACCACTGACCACAGTATCCTTCCAGACTACCTGTGAGGATTGGAAGCACTGTTTTACAGCAGTAAGTAGAAGATACTGGGGAAATGCTTCTTTTTGGGGTTCCACCAGGTCCAGTTCTTTCATCCTTACTTTTTAGCATCTATATGAAACTGCTGAGAGAGATCATCCATCAGTTTGAGGTGGGATATTTCAATATGCTGATGATACCCAACAGGCAGGACTGGAGATGTTGTGGAAGACCTGACAGTCTGGAGGCTATGAGGGCCTGGATGGGACAAAACAGGCTGAAATTCAACCCTAACAAGATGGAGTTGCTGTTTGTCCAGAAGTATTTGGTTCTCTGCCTACTCCAGTTTCAGTACTACATACAATGGCAATCTCCCTGCAGAAGCCTTTCTGGGATTCCTCTTAAATTTATGGTACTGCTGGAATCACAGATGGAGGCGGCAAGGAGTGTCTACTCAGTTTTGATTGGTATGCCCAACTGCAGCCTTATCTGGAAAAGGAAACTCTTGTTACAGTAACTCATGTCCTCAACATCACTAAGATAGATTACTACAATGTGCTTGACCTGGGATTACTTTTGAAGATTACTCAGAACCTGGAGTTGGCACAAATGCAGTAGCCTGTATTCTAGCAGGTAGGACTGCTACAATCATATTATACCCATACTGCAGGTGTTATATTGTTATGTTGGCTTTCAATAATTTCAAAGTGCTAGTTTTAACCCACAAAGCCTTATAGAACTTGGCTCCCAAGCATCTTCAGGACAGTCTCCGCCAGGCCCATCCTGTGCACTTGTCCTGGATGGGGGTATTCAACATATCCCATGTGCATAGCAGGAATGGGAGGCTAGGGACATTTCCCTGTGGTGCCCCCCACCCTTCA